AATAATTACAGATCGTGAAGAATTCAATGAAAGAATTTGTGAGGCATACTGAGACAGAATAAGTAAAAGTAGTGGAAACCTAGTATTTTATAGGATGGTTAGACATCCTCTCAAAGTAGGTAACTTTTAAGCTGAGACATGAAAAATGAGGTGGACTCAGACATTAGAAAAACAGATGGAAGGGTGTTCTAGTCTGAGGAAACAGCATATTCAAAGGCCCTAGGATGTGAAGGAATGTGGTGGATATTTATTTTGGGGAGGTACCAGGGATTGAACCTCAGGGGCACTCAACCACTGAGCCATATCCCTAACCCTGTTTTGTATTTTATTTAGTGACAGGGTCTCACTGAGTTGCTTAGCGCCTGCTGGCATTGAACTCTTGATCCTCCTGCCTCAACCCCCTGAGCCACTGGGATTACAAGCGTGCACCACTGTGCCTGGCTATTTATTTATTTTTGTTGTTGTTTTGTGGTACTGGGGATTGAACCCAGGGTATTCTTCCTAAACTATATCCCCAGCCCTTTTTTATTTTTTATTTTGACATGGAGTCTTGCTTAGGTTGGCCTTGAATTTATAATTCTCCTGCCTTAGCCTCCTGGGGCTCTGGGGTTGCAGATGTATGCTAGTATGCCCAGCAGGTACTTGTGTTTTTTGGGAATTGAAAGGAGGTTGGTGAGGTAGGAGCATAGAGGGGAAAGAGGAAAATGACAAGGTGGGGTGGGACCAGTAAGCCATAAGGAGCTACATCCCCTATGGCATTGTAGTCCATGAGAAAGAATTTGGAATTTATTTAGTTTGTCTCTAGTTATTGTTGAGTGGACAGAGCATTTAACCTCAGATCCCCATGAATTTGGTTATGATTGGAGAAGTTGCTTTTTTCACTTTGTACCTTGGAATGTTGAGTGGATAAAATTAAATGATATATGCTTTTTTGCAGCCTTCACAGTTCGATCATAGTATTATCGTTTTGAACTTGTGTATCAGTGATTTAGTATTTAGAATATGCTAAATTATAGTTACATGTCGTCTGTATTCTTTTTCTTCCAAGTAGATTGTTAGCCCTTAGAGAATAGACTTTTAGATCTATCTGGTCAGTATACAGAACCTTACACATAGTAGGCACATAGGTTTTCTTAGGGTTTTTTTTTTTCTAAAGAATTTGAGGTTAACTTTTGAAATTTTTTTCTACTAATTGTACAATAATAAGTGTGTATATATATATATGTGTGTATGTGTATATATATATATATATATATATTTGTACCCAGGGACACTTTATCATGAAGCTCTATCCACAGCTCTTTTTATTTTTTGAGACAGGGTCTCACACAGCTAACAAGGCTGGCCTCGAACTTCAGATCCCTCTGCCTCAGTCTCCCAAGTTGCTGGGATTATAGTGTGCATTACCATGCCTGTTTGTTACTTATTCTTATATATGTTTGAATTTTTCTGTTACAAATGGAAAACCAAGTTATTTGTGAAACAAGAAAATAAATAAATGAGATGGGGGGCTGGAGTTGTGGCTCAGAGGTAGAGCACTTGTCTAGCATGTGTGAGGCCCTGGGTTCGATTTTCAGCACCATATAGAATAAAAAATAAAAGGTTCATTGACAGATTTTTAAAAAAATACTTGAAAAAAATTTAAAAAAATAAATGAGATGGTATAAAGTAAAAACTAAAACTATATCATAGGGAGTGCATAATTTTTTAAAAATATTTTGTTTTAGTTGTAGTTGGACACAATACCTTTATTTTTTATTTTTATGTGATGCTAAGGATCAAACCCAGTACCCCACATGTGCTAAGTGAGCGCTCTACTGCGAGCCACAACCCCAGCCCCGATAATTTTTGTTTTAATTGATATTGCTAGAATTGCCTTTTTAAGTGGCTGTGTGGATTTACATTTTCACTGGTAATGTCTGTTTCCTAATTCTTCACCAGTATTTGATATTGATCAGATTTTTTAACTTTTGCAAGCCTGATTATTGAACATTATATCTAGATTTGCATTTCTGTGACTACTAGGAAGATGGAGCATCATTTTAGGTATTTATTTGGTTATTTGCATTTATCTTCTATTTATATCCCTTATCATTTTCCCCAAGTTTCTTGTCTTCTTATTTATTGCAGGAACGTTTTATATGTTGTAGATATTAATCCTCCATTCTATGTATTGCAAATATTTTCCCTAATCTCTGCTTTTATCTTTTTTCAGTTGAACATTTGTACTAAAAAATAATGCATAGGAGTTTTTCTTCCATTTTAGCCCAGTCAGCATTTTTGATGATGGTATGTCCTATGTGCAGCCCAAGATAGTTTTCCAAAATATCTTTGGAACTCCCTGGCACAGTCTGTCAGCATACCAAGAAAATAGTCATCACCATCTACTGTCTCAGTCCAGTGGACTGTTTTTATACTTTTAAGCTATTTTATATGTAACTTGCAAAAGTAAGAATAAAAGGATAACAAATTTTTTTTCATTTGAAAATGTAATAATAACTTAAATATAACAACTTTTTCCATATTCTTGTAATTGTAAACACACATATACCACTGAAATGAACATTGTCCCTGAATGCAACTAACTACTCATTAGCTGTCATATTTTCTTTGTTTTTGGGAAGACTCTTAAAAAGAATAAAATTATAAATAGAACTCCTCCCCAATAGCAAGGAACTTCTCCAAAAAAGAAAGTATAAAATTACACTTGAGTCCAGTGAATTCTGATGTCATACCAAGGGCTGAGTTGATAAAAAATACATAATGAATATATTGATGAAGCTTTTTTTTTTTTTTTTTTTTTTTGTGATGACATCTGGAATGGAAATAACTCTTAGGTTTGCAGGAGTTTGCTCCAGCTTGCATCTTTATGTTCTGATCATCACCTTATCTGTGCATCCTGAACAAAAAGAGTAAACTAACTTCCTTTTGTCTGAGGCAGGTGCTTCCTCTTCCTGTTCATTCTGTTTTCAGCGGCCCTGCATTATCTTGTGTGTCCCTCCTCTAAGCCTCTTTTCTCTATCAAAGCCCTTGAGCTGTTAGTTGCTGAAGTGAAGTGCATCTCCGAGCACAGGGCACTGCCAGCATCCCAGTTGGGAAGTATCGCTAAGAGGTGTGTTTGCCAAGCACACGATATCATTGTGTGCAGGCATTGCAGGAGTCTGCCAAATCTAGAGGTAGGCTGCCAGTACAAATGCCACGTTGACATGACATTTACAAGTTTAGAATTTGGAAAAAGACTGGCAGTGGAACACCCCTGAGCAATCTCATTTAGGGTGGCAGTAGGTGGGCCAACTTTAGATTTTCAGATTCGGAAATTAGTCAGGAAGTAAAGCTTCATATAGAATTTGAAGCTGTTTCAATAAAAGAAAATAAAATCATATGGCATTGGCAGGTAAATGGATGGAGTTAGAGAAGATAATGCTAAGTGAAATTAACCAATCCCAAAAAACCAAATGCTGAATGTTTTCTTTGATATAAGGAGGCTGATTCATAGTGGAATAGGGAGAGGGAGCATGGGAGGAATAGATGAACTCTAGATRGGGCAGAGGGGTTGGAGGGGGAGGGAGGGGGCATGGGGTTATAAATGATCATTATTATCCAAAGTACATGTATGAAGACACTAATTGGTGTGAATATACTTTGTATACAACCAGAGATATGAAAAATTATGCTCTATATGTGTGTTAAGAATTGTAACACGTTCTGCTGTCACATGTAAATTTTTAAAAAGTAAAAAAAAATAATTTGAAGCTGTCACTACAACTTTTTTCTAGGAAATGATAGATTCTTTTTGCCTATTCCTGGGATGTAGGATAAACTATAATTGTTAAGCATGCAGACTCTAGAATCAAGCCTGGATGTGAATAAGTCTCCATCATTTACTGGATGATCCTGAACAACTTACTTAACCTGTGTGACTTGGAGCAAGCTTGAACCTCAGTTTCCCATCTATAAAAGAGGGGCTGGGATTGTGGCTCAGCAGTAGAGTGCTCGCCTAGCACATGTGAGGCCCTGAGTTCAATCCTCAGCACCACATAAAAATAAATAAATAAAATAAAAATATTGTGTCCAGTTACAACTAGAAAATAAATATTTAAAAAAGAGGGCTAATAATGTCACTTTGCTCATAGGGTTAGCAGATTGATTGAATTACACATTTAAAAGCAAATTTTCTGCACTTATTACTTTCTTAAGAAACTCTTGAGAAATTCAGGTTTTCAGTTTTCCTATTTCAGTGATAAGTAGATACAATTTTCCAGAGACATGTGTAGACTCTCAGGATACAGATTTCTTTACCTATCTAGAAAAATTCAGAGCTGGAGTCAGAATCATTACAGTATTGGGCATCACTACATTTTCTTAGATGTAGTAACCATTTGGATGTTAAGAATTCATTTCAGGAATAGCAGCCCTTTGATTGACCTAGAACTCTTTTATGGCACAGTTTATGCAAAATGAAGACTTGAGAGCTATTTTGAAGGGCATACTGTGATTTATTAGGGAGACTGTTTGTCATGAGTAATAAGGTACTTGTTCTTAAGTATTTTATCATGATCTGTTACTTAAATAACAGGCTTTTATGTTTTATGTGCTGTTTGTATAAGATGTAATCCTCACAGGGGAAGAACTGGGGAATGTAGTTGACCAAACTATTCTGTGTCCATGTATGAATATATTACAGTGCATTCTATTTTTATATATAATTGTAATATACCAATTAAAAATAAGTAAATAAATAGAAAGAAGACCAGTAAAGTAGAGGAAGAGATCAGTGGGAAGGAGGAAGGGAGAAAAAGACGTAGCACTGGGGATTGAAATGGAGCAAACTTTCTTATATGAATTTATGGATATGTCAAAATGAACCTCACTATTGTTGTATAACTATAGTGCACAAATAAAAACATAAAAATAATCCTTACAATAGAGTTTCCTTGAAGTATCATTAGTAAATTCTCCCAAGTGATAATTTTTTCCTTTTTTTTTTTTTTTTTTTTCAGATCTTCAAAGCTGCTTCGGGCATTCTATGTCCCTTACCTTTCAGATCAGTATACAGTGTATGCAAACTACACTATCCTTAAACCCCGGAAGACAAAGCAAACCAGGAAGAAAAGTGGAGGTTAGCTACGCACCCATGGTCCCAAAGGACAACCATCTTGTTAATTAGTGATTCCTCTGACTCCCTCCAAGTCATTGCCTGTAATATTTGTAATAAAAGTCATCTGACATGAATACTGGAATCTGGGTGTTTTGGGCTAGTCATAGTTGCATTTGCTTCTAGTCTGTCTCTGTTCTGCATGTAAACTTCTTGCAGATAGAGAAAGGCCCTGAAGCAGGGAGAGATATATTGCTCCATATCTCATTGTCTTTCTTCTATTAAATTATTCACTAGACCGGAGAAGAGCAGAATCACCTTACAGGAAGAATTGAAAGTCCCTGGACTGGATGCCTGTGTTAAGCTGTTCTCCACACTCTGGCCTGGCATCTGAGAACTAGCAAGGCTCTCTTAGGCCATGTGGGCTCCTCCACCAAAGCTGTTGGCAGTCCTAGCAGACCTTGTTCAAATCCTAGTGCTGAAATTGAGCATAGCCTACTTGCCAACTGACATGTCCTTTTCATCTCCAGCAAGACAAAGCTTCTMTCAAGCACTTCACAGGACTAGTACCCTGTCCTGGAGCTATCTCAGGAAAAAGGCTACCATTTGAGGAACTGTGACCTGATTTTATTATATTTGATGCCTCTAATTTTCATTTTATTTCCTTTACAACTAACTTTCACTGTATGGTTAGTTTTTTGTTGTTATTGTTATTTTAAGTTTTAGCATGCTCTATAATTCTAAACTTCTCTGTATAAAGGAATCAACAGACTAAAATATAACTGAGTAGGGCATCATTGACGAAATTTGGTTCTATCAGTTGGTAGATTTGGATGATATCATGTTTTTAAGTAATGTATTCTAAGACCATTTCTGAAAAAATTAAGTTTTTTTTTTTTTTTTTTGGTAACAACCTAGTGAAAAGGACTAGTATATAATTATAGCACCTATTTTTCAGCTCTATTATAAGCACATCCTGCATGGGGCACTTCTAGGCAAATAGGCAATGATAAGGACCCAATTAAAATGTAATAAGTGTRTAYTATTACTTTACCTTTACATTGTATTTCACAGTTGACAAGACACTTTCCCAACATCTCATTTGGTCCTCACAATCAGTGTGAGGTAAACAAGGCAGGTGATTTATCCCCATTTTACAGATGAAGAAAAAGACTAAGGATTGGAGGTGAAGTGACTTGCCTGAGGTCACAGTCAGTAAGTAGTTGAGCAGGGGCTAGCTAGAACCTATGTTGCCTGACTTTTCTCATCTAGTGCTTTTCCATGCTTCCTCAACTGTGAAAACATACTGATGATGAGGTTGACCAGAGACCTGATTGATAGTGTAACTTTCTATTTTAAGGAAGAATTTTATTTATATTTCTTTGAGTTCTTTGGAGCCTYCAATCTGCCTGAATGTTAGATAAATCAACAAAGCAGTGCTCTGTGATATTGCCAGGCCCATGGCCAGAAAGTACTGCTTATTTTGGAAGTCATGTTCCTTTGCAGTCACACAGGATCCAACTATTAGTACTATTTCTATTGTCCATTGGGGGCCACATTATAGGTGCCTTATTTCCTTAAAAGTCAATGTTTTTGGTATCTGAAAACAGAGTGAATCTTTAGTTTTCCATCTTTTACTTTTCAAGAAAAGATCTTCCCCACAGGAACTGAACCCAAGAAAGGAGAAGATGTGATAACAGGAAAAATGGGAGTTATAATAAAAAAAAAGTCTCTCTGGAGATTCATGCTAAAGGAATATCTGAGCTGGAGTTGAAGCACTGGAAAGGTAATAGGTATAGACAGTAACTAGAAAGTAAAGATAGACTGAAGTCCCACTTGTTTGAAAAATCTCTGGCTTTTAATTCTCAATATTTGATTACTGTTTCCTAAAGCAAATAGTGAATATATGATCTGCCCACAGGACAGGGAACTGTAATTGAAGCATTTTGCCTACTTATAAGTAGAAAAGTTCAGTGATGGAGGTCAACAGAGAGTGCTTTTTTTTTTTTTTTTTCCCAATGAAAGTGGTACAGTAGCTCTGTTGTAGAGCATATGCTTAGCATGGGCAAAGTTCTGGGTTCAGTTCCCAGCACAGAAACAAAAAAGAGGTAGAATGCTGATGATTTTATCATCTTGCTTATTTTGGGGAAAAAAAATGTTTAAAAAGACCTTTTAAGCAAGAACTTAATTATAGCACCAAAAAAAAAAAAAAAAAAGAAAAAAGTCCAGAATTGATTCAGGGCCTCCTTGGGAATATCAGCTCCTATCCCCTTGAAAACCTTATTTTGGCTTTCTCTGTTCTATGTATCTTTAGTGAGAGCACAACAAATTGCAGAGCACTGTGCCATCTGCTATAGGTAAGGAATTCAAAATGAATGCTTTTTGTGTGAAAGTGTTTTTTTTGTGTGTGTGATATTTTATAAACATGTTTTAAAATGTCCATCTCTTAGCAATAAAGGGATGTTAGCTTTATCTTATCTGGTCAAGGTAGCATTTCTCCTCCAAAGAGTCAAAATTCAGCTTGTGTTAACTCCTCTGATCCTGGTAAAGAAAAAGTAACTAAGATACTTATTACTCCAGAGATTATTAAATATTGAAGAATGAGGACTACAGATTATTCCTAATAGACCTTGATTGTAAGCCTTTAATTGTGGCAAATCTAGCATTCTTTCATCTCCAGCTCTCGGGCAGCCATCTGAAACTGAATTTTGTGACACTTAGTACCAGCCATTACTGAACCAGTCTGTGTGGTAGACACCTATAACCAAAACTTACCTCTCACCTGGTAGGTGTCATCTGATAAAAAAGAAGACAGGTCATTTTAATCTTTTGGGATAATCAAGCAAATTGGAACCCATTCTTTTTATTACTGAATTCAAATTTAGAAGCAGATTCTTTGATTCAAATCAAGGTAATTCTTGATCCCAGCTATTTATTTAGGTCATACATTCTAGTTTGAATTTCTGAGAAAAAACTTTGAACACCCTATGTATTTCTGCAGCATGAGATCTGGGGTAAACAATCCTTTCTTGTATTTTGCATTTCCTGAGATTTATAGAAATAAGAATTCACTGTGATTGTATACTCACATGGCCATACCAGGCAGCCCTGCTCTTAATTTGGTTAATTTTAGTTCCTCTAATGAGAGAAAAGAGGCATAATTAAATCTTGACTCCCACAGACATAGTAAATCTCATGTGTTAATCCATTCTTATACCCCTACATTAAATGCCTTGACTAAAGCAGATAAATGGACATGGAACTTAGCTTTAATTTTTTTGCAACAGAAAGATCAAAATTCCATATGGCATTGTTGGGTTTTAGAGGCTCTCTGGTGTATTTGTAAATCTGAATGTTGCCTTTAATTTTTTCAATCTATTTAATCATGTGATTTATGCTGCAAATGAAATCAGGAAGCAGTACAGCGTGGAAGCAAGAGTATTATCCAATTCGTTTGTCTTCCTGATCTTGTACTTTATTTCTTGTGTCAGTGTTTACATGCCATACTTAACTGTATTTTCTGTGAAAGAAAAAGTTAAAATAAATCTTGACACTTTAATTTTCCTTTTCTTAGGTGATATGTTTTCTTTTGCTTTCAGCTTTTAAATCCTACTTTCCTAAAGCCTACCCCTCGATGCACAAACTTTCCTTCTAGCAAATAGTCCAGAATATTTGTCCTGAAACTTTAGGATGAAGCCTTTGGGAAGCTCAATGAGGGCTAGTTCTTTTTTTTATGGAAAAAAAAAAAAAAAAAACAGGTACAGCAGGGCTTACTTAATGTTTGAAAACCATACCTAAAAGAGATGAAATTCCTAGATCCATGTTAAGTTTTTGGATTGAGAATCTCTGGTCTGTGAGATTCTACTTTTCAGAGAAATTCTGATCCAGCTATATCTAACATTTGGATAATTTCCCTGTTGTTGAGGGTTGTCAGGAGGAATAAGACATTTTTCTAAACAAATTTCTAACATCATCCTATACCCTCCACCTTATATCTAATAATTACTTCTAGAGGCCATCAGGTTTTGTACCATTGTAATCATTTTTTCTCCCCATAGGACCCAAAATGGCCTTGAGATTTGGTTTATTCCTCTCATGTTGTTTAGGAGGAGAATGCCTTTATTAATTGAGTTCAGCAGGGAGAAAGTCACAGCCTTAATTTTTTCCTTCTGTCTAGAATACCATCTTCTCTGTTACTCCTTTAGGTCTGAGTCTCTTCTAAAAAGCCTTTCTAGACTCACACCCTGTGATTTCTTCCTTTTCTGAACCCTGTTGGGTACACAGTGTCTTTACTAGGGCATAGAACTTGAATGTAGAAACCTTGTCAGCCTGTCTCCCAAGAACATTGTTCACACATCTGAGATAAGCACCTTGCCATGCTTCTGTGTATCCCAGTGTTTAACAAGGTTTCTTGTACACTTTGGTTCTATCCGTGTTTATTGACAATGAAGAGCAAAGACACTTGGAACTAATAAACAACTGTTAATCTGATTTTGGGATGGATTCTTGGACCACAGAAAATATAGCAGGTCATAAGTCCTGCAAGTCCTGAAAGGGCAATTTATGAATGAGGCTTCGAGTGTGTATAGTTCAGTAATTCTCCTGAAGTACACAGTCTTCTGTACAAATTCCTCAGGGTAATTTGTAAGTAGAGAATGTTTTTTCCCATGAATATTTCTATTATCACTTGATTTTGAAGCATCATACCTATTGCAGGAGACCTTCTGAATGTGTTGTGTGAGCAAGCCTGGCCTGCAGGTGAGAGTCCTACTCGCAACATGCCTCACTAGGGAAAGGGTGTCTGACACAAGATGACTTTGTAGTTACATATTCAGATCAAATAATATTAAGTAGTAAGTTATATTTTAAAAATCTGTTTTGGCTGTCTTCAGCTGTGGAATTCACATAGACCTGACATTTAAACAAATTATAACTGACAAATTTGATAAATGAGGGAAATCCCAATTAGGGATATGAGATTATGGAACTGTAGTGATAAGGACAGACTAAAAATTTCCTATTGTAGTTTTGCAGAATAAACAGCTCATGTTTAAATTAATAATTGGGAAAAAATAACAATTGGGTTCAAGTAGCATTTTACCAGAATATCAACCTTTATTTATCTTCTTAAAATGTAAGTGAATCTTCGAATACCTTTGTGAAATACTTCAAGATAAGTAGAGATTTTTGGTTTTGCTTCTAATTTCTGGGTTTATTCTGTCATTCCGTGCTTAGACATAAAAGCATAAATCAGGTGACTTCCCAATGGTGCTAATAGCCAAAAGTGCGTGATTTAAGACAAACTTCTTTTTTTGTTTGTTTTAGTTGTAGTTGGACACAATACCTTTATTTATTTTTTAGTACCTTTATTTATTTATTTATTTTTTATGTGGTGCTTAGGATTGAACCTAGGGCCCTGAGCACAACCCCAGCCCTAAGATAAGCTTCTGATGAAGGTTTTCCCAAGACCTACAACCATGGATTCCAGAATTACCTACCTCAGGAGGGCTGTTTGGCCTTTTGCTTGCAGAAACAGTGTTTGGCAACTGGTGCCCTTGACCTTTGATTTGTCATTTTAGCTCAGAATTCCAAGTTGCCAAATGAGAATGGGCTGCTTTTCAATTTGTTTTCTTGCTACTTCAGCAGGATTATAGTCAGTGCTGGAAAGTTGTACTCTATGAGGCAGCTATTCTCAGCCAGAGTTGCATAAGAGAGTTACCTGGGGACCTTTTTTTAATTATTTTATTTTTTTACCTGGGTACCTTTTAACATTGACACTCTGGTTGACCCCAAGGAATTCTGAGTTATTATCTAGGTGTGAGTCCAGGCACCATTACTTTTTAAAAATGCCATAGATGATTGAGCATATTGGTGCACACCTATAATCCCAGTTTGAGGCCAGTCTTGGCAAAATAAAAATAAAATAAAAAATAATAAAACTGTTTGGGAGTGTAGCTCAGTGGTGAAGCACTTCTGAGTTCAATCCCCAGAACTGCAAAAACAAAAACAAAACAAAATCTCTCTAGATGATTTTTCTGATTGTAGCTATAGTTGAACACCACTGCTGTTGACAAAGACTACAGGCAAACCTCACAACAAAGATCAAAGATAATTAAACAGGTAGAATATTTCATGKCTTTTTCTAATTCTGATCTAATTCTGGTTACCTAGGCCTTCATGTAGGCCTCTTTCCCCTTACAGCCCCTTTTCTTTACCTACTCTGACCTGTCAAACCTTACTTGCCCTATCTCCCATGCCCTTTGGGCCCAACTTGCCGGGAAACAATTAACTAATATAGCACTGAAGTACACTAATGAATGTTAATAATTCACTGCAGTTCTCCCCCCATTGATTCTCATTTGAGTACATTGAATGATAATACATCTGGAAAAAAAAGAGATAACTACAGTTTTGGCAATTTCAGACCTATTCAGTGCCATTTATTGATTTATTTATTAGGAAAGAATGAGCAGGCAGGTCACCTTCAGGAAGACTTCCTGCCTTCAACCCTAACACTTGGTACTACTTACCCTACTCAGGTAGGACCTGTGGCTGTATTGAGTAGGATAGTGGGAAATAAAATGTCTGTGGATATTAAGCTCTTCATACAGCTCAGGACACTGGGGAAGTCAGCTTTTATAGTTTTAAAAAACATTAGTTCTGTTTATTTGAGATGAGTACAGTAAAGACCTTCCTTTGTTCTTTTGCCACTGCTCTGTTGAAAGAGCTTCCCTGGGGCTGCTGCTACCCCCTCACACATGAGAGCAAAGGTTAATCTCATTTTGAGAGAAATAACCTAAAATGTGTTCAGTCACCCAACAAGAAGACACCATGTTCCACTTATAAGTTGGTCTCACCTTTTTATTGTGTCCCTATTAAACTGTGTCTCTAACCCTCCCTGGTATTTCCTATACCTCATTCCAATTCTTTTCTTGCCAGTGAACTTTGTGGAGATGTAGGAAAGGAGGCTGATATTTTAGTGCTACATTTATAAAAGAATCTTAAGAATTTTTCTGACTGTCCTACTCCCTTTCCTTGTCTTTTTCTATATTTGTGTTCTTATAGCCTGTGATTACTAGAGATATTCTAAAAAAAAAAAAGCAGTACCAAAGTTTAAATTTGCCATAAGATTTTTTTGTTGTTTATTTTSCTGTCTCACAACTTTAGGCCACCTTGTCTGCAATGCCATTGTAGAGGATCCTCTACTGTCCAGCAGAGGGCATCCTACTCTCACTAAAAACTTCAAAGCGTCTTTCCCTCCTGCAATGTAGTTTGTTTTAGTATTTTGTATTCATGGTGTAATTTCAATATGTAAATTGTATTTTTTAAGAATCATGCACCCTGCACTGCTTTCTTATAACCTTTTAACAGTTGCAAAACTTTCTTGAAGAAAACCATATCCACAACTTAGYAGGGGATGAATTGTCCATCCTAACAGTGATTCCTTGGTTGGTAGATGATCTATAAGCGGACACTTCTCCATTAATTTCAGTTCTATTTGCCCTGACCTTGATTGTATATGTACATAATAAAAGATATGTATTTAGTTGAAGGGGGAAATATATCAGCCACCTGCCCATTTTCAAATTTTCATATGAGAGCAAACCGTATCACATACACATTGCTACTTTTACCACTGCTAATTTACTGGCATTGTCAAAGACAACTCAAAGGATATATAAATGTCTAAGTTTTTCTCCTTCAAATGCCTAAACATCATCTATAGCTCAGTAGTTTAATGGAGGGCAATAACATTTAGCAGGTTCTGAGACCTGTGAAAGAAAGACTTTAGGATATCTTCATGTTCCCCATGCCTACACCATGTTGTGAAGAGTGAACATTTGCAGAAGGAAGTAGAATTTGCTTTTTTTTTGGGGGGGGGTGGGTATCAGGGATTGAACTCAGGGAAACTTAACCCTTTTTATTTTTTATTTTGAGACAGGGTCTCCTTGAGTTGCCTA